TTCTCGAGTGGTATTGGTCATGACTATTTCACGTAAGATTTTGAAAATAAATAGAATGCAAAAATATGAATAAAAACTTCAAATTAAAAATATCAGTTTGACAATGTCAAAAAATGGTCTCTGAAATACCATGTTATTGGTATTGTCCAGGTAGCAATATTGTCAGGTGAATACCGAATTTATTGTCGAATGTGATACCACAAGAGGTTTCACGATTACCGGATAATACTTTTAACTGTCACGAAACGCGTTACGCAACAACACCACGACTCCGAAGGAGGAGTGGTGTTGCTGGTAACACGCCGGGTGTCGGGTAAAAGTATTAGGTAATCCTGAAACTTCGAGTGGTATTCAAAAGGTTATACAACGAACTAAACTTTGATACTTTATTAATGTTCATTATTATTAATAGTAAATGAACAATATTGCCACCAAGTGCGATAATCCCAAAAGGCTTATCACTTCTTAAGCCTCTCGTGTCATATGGGAATAATGTACAGGGTGTCCGAATTTGGATGGTTTTAATAGGAAACGTCAATTTCTGAGCGAGATACAAAAAAATTAACCCCCCACTCCGAGGCTCAAATTTCTTAAAATTTTGATTGGTGCAAACCGCATTTTGATATCTTCAACCGTTTAGCCGCTAGATGGCGATTCTCGATTTTGAGCAATACTGTGAAATCTTCATAACTTTTGTGTTCATAAAAATAACTGATTTGTGTAAAAACTTCCTAAAAGCACTTTTTCAAGCAGAATTCAGTGACGTTTTCAGTTTTTTTTTCTATTGGGCCTCGATTTCAAGATATTGACCAAAATCCGATTTTTTCCAATGAGTCACCCTATACATTAATAGCTCATTAGAAAGCTCTGCTTTTGCTGATTTCAATGATACAAATTTCGATAGGTTTATCTCTAACAGTTTTCGAGAAAAAAAATATTTCGGCTTTTGTCATAAGAAACAATGAGTTAGAAAGAGACCTTTCTCAGTTTCCTTACAGATATAAAGTCCTTTTCTTACACATTGCTTCTTATGACAAAAACCGAAATAATTTTTTTTCTCGAAAACTATTAGAGATAAACCTATCGAACTTTATATCATTGAAATCAGAAAAAGCCGAGCTTTTTAATGAGCTATTAATATATAGAGTGTCCTATTGAAAAAAACCAGACTTTGGTCAATATCTCGGAGTTGGGACCAACTAGAAAAAAACTGAGAACGTCACTGAATTCTGCTTGAAAAAGTGCTTCTAGAAAGTTTTTACGGAAATCAATAATTTTCATAAACAGGAAAGTTATAATGGTTTCACATTATTGCTCAAAATCGAGAATCGCCCTCTAGCGGCTAAACGGTTGAAGATATCAAAATGCGGTTTGCACCAATCAAAATTTCAAGAAATTTGGGCCTCGGAGTGGGGGATTCATTTTTTTGTATCTTGCTCAGAAATTGATGTTTCCTATTAAAACCATCCAAATTCGGACACCCTGTACAATGAGTTGTATTAACGGTGTAAACACTCTAGTGAAATAGTCGCTGTAATAATGACAAAAACACCAGTCCTTATGGGATTTTTTGTGTATGAATTAAATTGTCAATTTAAATTTGCTTATTACCTATCCTGTCTTTTGGCCAAAACATTGTAAAATTGACATTGTCAATTTTTTTGCGTTGAATAGTATTATTGTCTTGAATCTGCGATTACTCATTATTAGTTCATACGAGGGTAGTTGAATTAAATTAATATATAGGTAACACTTTAACAGTGTTTTTTTATTTAAATAAATGTTAAAAGGTAATTTTATTTGTTTATTGGGATTGAAAAAATGCATTGACTGCATATGGTCTGGTTCCCTTGATTTTGCTAAATTTCCAAAAATTCAAAAAATTGTAGATTGTTACTACGTTATGGTACGCATTCAGTTTTTATGATACCTCCTTCATTTTTTCATTCTATTCAATTTTCCTCTTTTGAGTTTTTTCGTTAGAATGTACCGTTTTTGACTTATTCACGATTTTTTCCGAAAAGTGCCGAAATTCAAGATGGCGGATTGTTTTTTCTAATGACGCAACAACCGGACGAATGGGGACTTTTGGTATGTTTACTAGGAGTACTAACGCTAACTATTTTTGATAGTTGCAGCTTTATAAAAATTTTTGCAAATTCAAAATTATTTGCACTGGCCTATATCCTGTAATGAGTGATGCATATATCATTTAAATTTTCTAATTCTTTTAGAAAACACTTCCTGATATATCCCTAAGAAATCACAAATTTTCACCTATTTTCCAATAAAATAGGAAACTGTATAACGAAACATGATGAATATGGATGAAATGAGCACCAAAATAATACCTAAATAAATAACAAAATAATCACTTACAGTTTGTAGCGCTTCTGACATCGAATGAAAGGAATCCACAGGATTTCCATCTTGGGGTTCCGATTTTATCGTTGCCGGGGTTCCTCCTGAGTCCCGCTCAGGACGACCACGGTCCCGATCTATTGGAGAATCGGGAAGAAAAACCTGCAACAAATAATTTGAAAATCGACAGAAAATTTCAAATAATGGTTATTCAGTATTAAAGAATTCTACCCTAACTGAACTAGAGTTATTGGAACATGAATGTCTTTATGGGCTCAATTAGTTACTGTATGATGAAAGTAGGGAGCTTTGTATAACTGCTTATTTTTATTATGCATCCAATAACTCTTTAATATTCTAATAATAAGCAAATAAAAAAATTGAAAACTCACCTGTGAATCTTGTGGATTCCTATCGACAGAATTCGATGAATTATCACAGTTGTTATTCGATGCGGTTCGTTTCCTTTTTAAAGCCGGACTATCTCTGCCCTGTTTTTGAGCCTCACCCCGTTCCCTTTTCACTAAAGGCGGTTTATTTTCCATTTCCCGCTCATCAGTTTGACTATTTAGACTGTTACTATCCGACAGGCCTCGGATCTGTAGGCTCTCGGCCGTTTTCAAAAAAGCTGGAAGTAGGTTTTGCGACACGTTCACTTCGCCTTTGTACATGAAGTCCAATAAGGCCTTGATTTCGTTTGGACTTACATCTTTTAAAAAGACTATCGGGTGTTTGTTTGGCGTTTGAATAAAAAGCGTTTCGAAGTAGGGCGAACACGCCGAGAGGACTATTTGGTGTGCCTAAAAGTCATCGCAGGTTACAAAATTGTCTTTAACTTGCTAACTTAGAGACAAAAATTCGGACCACAAAGTTAAAGACAATTTTGTACTTAACGCAACAATTACCTGGAAAACTTGTCCATTACTTGCTAAAGTTACATCACATAGTACTTGTTCCCTTAAAAAATCAGTGAGCACATCTGTCAAATTTTTCAAGTGGTTGTTCCACCTAAGGCAGTACTGTTGGGAGTCCATGTTGGCCTAGTAATTTTGATACCTGTTGAAATGAAACTTTGATAAAAAAAAAATAAGAGGCCACAAAATGTGAGTTTTCAGTACAGTTTGCAAATCTTGACTTAGGTATATCATATTTTATAAATTTGAGGTTTTTAAAGCTGGAAAATGACAATATGTTGAATTTTTCATGTTAAAGGTCGTCTCACAGCTGACACACAAGTGCACACCTACTAATTTGCATCAAATAATAATATCACATTATCTATTCAAATAGAAAAAATCCTCTAAGAAGAAAAAACATGTTTGTAGGTATTTGATTCAAATCTGCAAAGTCTGAGCCCAAATAAGTATATTGTTATCTTTCGTTTATGTATAAGTTCAAAATGCCAAATCTTCATCTCGGGAATGTTTTAAGGCTTCGCAAAACATGTTTATCTAATTCGAGTTATGGAATATGCTATACCAATAATATAATATGGTTCCTTCAAAACATTTATTTCAAGTCAGCAGTTGTTATCAACTAAACCATTTAACAGTATGCTATATACACGAAAGGTTTGTTACAAACTTCTAAGGATGGTAGATCTCGTAAAAATAAAGCTTTTTTCTTAATAAACATATGTCCGGAAATGCTTAGTTTTCCAGATATACAGGGTGTAAAACTTTGTACAAAAAATCAATTTTTACAATAATTCTCAGAAAGAAGTGCGTGCGCTTTAGAAAAAAAGTTTTTTGTATTTTTTTGTGTGTATTTTTAAGCAACAAATAGCCTGGTGAAATTTCAGGCAATTCTGTGGCAATTTATTTTCTATTTATGGAACTCAGTGACGTTCGTGGTTCGCCTGAAATGGTTTTTAAATTTTATCTCGTAAACAAAGCAGCACACGGAAAAAAATTAAGAGACAAAAAAGTTGTATCTTTGAGTGTTCTATTCAAAAAACATATCCCAATTGAAAATAAATCTACTGGATGATGTTTTTCGTGCAAAAAACCATCCGACAGAACCTGTGGCACGTCCCTGGAATTACTGGGTCAACTCTGAGCAGTCCAAAAGATACCTCATAAAGGTGTCAACAAACTATGAAAATTTCATTTAATTCGTCCAACGCATTTCTAAGAATTATTGAAAAAATTGGTTTTTTCTTACAAAGTTTAACACCCTGTATCTGGAAAGCGAAGCATTTCCGGACATATGTTTATCAAAAAAAAAACTTCATTTTTACGAGATCTACCATCCCTAGAAGTTTGTAACAAACCTTTCGTGACACCCTGTAGAGGTAAAAATACCTAGATTCTTGAAGAAGCTGATGCTAATTTTATTACAATAAACGCAACCCAACCATTGCAACAGGAATTTTTCAAAGCTAACTTTTTATCATTTCAACTAATTAATAGGGCTTTTATTACTCAGCAAAATAAATACCTAAGTTTTTAATTGGAATGTGATTAAAAACGCTTTAGCATTTAAAAGTTCAAACGAGTTACATAATTTAATATTTCCATAAGAATTGTTTTGAGTTCTATCTACTTGTTCCAAAAACATGGGATAATAAATTTCATATATGGGTGTATTTTTGTATACTTAATAAGAAAATGAGATAAGATAAAACTAGAAGTGCTAAGTTAACTAATCACATTGTCAATGTGCTGGCATATATTTTATTGTGATAGATTCTGCATAGTCATTTAAAATTAACTTCGAATTGTTTTAAACTTTTCAACTGCGATGTATGTATATCCAGGAACAGCAAATTTCATCTGAATCATTGTATTGGATATCCAATAGCAATCAATAGTGAAAAGTAAAACATTTCGCAACAGGGTACAAAATCCAATTGAGACGTTTTCTTTTCTGAGGCTAGTAGAATCGCTCAAAATCTTAGTAGCAACAAATACCTATGAAACAAGGCCAGAAGAATTTGAAAAATGACCTTCCCGATGCATTTTTATAAGTACTTGGAAAAATGGTTACCCACTCAAATAAGAAAAAATCTAGTATGAAACTCAAATATGAAATTTCATGTTTTGTAATTTGTGTCCTTTTGCTCTTCACTCGGATATAGTTCAACTAGTTATTATTCCTATGAACAGTTTATAAATATGTGAAACTCGGAAGACGGAATTGAGAACCTCTATTTTGTTCATATTGGGTGATTTTGGGAATCGTAAAGACTTGGAAACGAGGTTTAAACTCTTCAAGTCAGGGAGATAACCTATGTGGAGATAACACATGCTACTAAGATGGGTGGAAGCATCATTGATTTGGTAATAGTTAATTGGAATATATTTATAGCTAAAATGTGAGAAATTGCTAGGATATCAGATCACAATATAATAATGTTCTATCTTGACGATAAAAAAATAAATAAATTGGGAATATTGAATAATAGACATAAATATTTAGTATGAATATAAGTACCTGTCTATTGAAACATGTTAATAGTTATTAATGATACTAGTTCGATATGAACAGTATAATGAAACGCGTGTAATATTAAACCACGAGGCGTCAGCCGAGTGGTTTAGTTAAACAACTTTCATTAATAAAGTTCATATCGAACGTGTATCATTCAAAATTTAATCTACAATGGTCCAAATAGATTTGATTTGCCTTGAAATAGCAAAAACTTTTCAAATTAAAATTCAAAATTTAGCAGGTGCCTGTAGTAGTCGGAAACCTGCTTGTTGATTTTTAGAATTTTGACTTTGGCAGCTTCAATATTGGAGTCAATTTTTATGCCATAAATTCAGTTTTATAGTGGGAAATAATGTCCCTTCGTATATCGAGACAGCATCTATGAAAAGGTCTTTCTGGTAACTAACTTTCTTTTTGTATATTTTTCATTTCATAATTTGAGCGTTTTTATGAATTCTTAAACGCACTTGTGCTTTTATGGAGGACCTAATGACATTCAAATGACAATGCTAAATGTGTCATAACGACACCGACGTAGATTAAGCATATAATGATGCTGCTCCTAAGGCAGGCCGCACATCAAAGAAACATGAAACGTGAAACATCAAACATGAGACGTTAAATATGAAACAATAAATTACGAAAAGTGAAACCGTTTCTTTCTTGCATACTAATTGAAGAAACAAGAATAATGTTTGCAAAGTCTTTTGGTAGTGTAGTGGAGTGTAGAGGGTAGCATACAATGGAAAGTGTTGACGAGCACAGCAACTGCTGTTGTGGCAACTTTTCTATTATCGTCAAAAAGCCAAAAAAATAAAGGAAACGCCGTTACTGGGTACATTATACATACAGTAATGTACTTTTTACCTGTTAGGCAACATTTTGGCAGGCTTTTTTTTGTGATTGTCTAATCGAGTACTTCTCCATGTTATACTATACAATTCTCCATCTTGCTCTACCACTGAAACGAACACAATATTGAATTCTTGGTCGTAATTAATTTTTTTATGAATGTATTTATGACCAAAAACCGTGAAACTGAAACGGAAAAATAGAACGCGATCTATTTCATGAAACACGTTTCAAGTAATAAAAATGTTTCTCGCGCATCAAACGAATTCGTTTCATTGGTGGGCGGACTTGTATTTGTTTGTTCTTGATTTATTTTCATGAAACGAGTTTCACGCTTTATGTTTCATGTTTCTTTGATGTGCGGCCTCCCTAGGCAGGCCGCACATCAAAGAAACATGAAACATAAAGCGTGAAACATAAAACATGAAACATAAAACATGAAACAATAAATTACGAAAGGCGAAACCGTTTCTTTCGTGCATACTAATTAAAGAAACAAAAATAATTCTTGTTTCTTGTTGCAAAATATAATTATTATATTTGCAAAGTCGTTTCAGGGTAGTAGAGTGTGAAGTAGAGTGTAGTACACAATAAATAGTGAGGACGAGGTTGTTGTTGCTGTTGTGGCGTCTCTTTTATTATAATCAAAAAGCAAAAAAAAAGGAAACGACGTTACTGGGTAGATCCACACAATAATATAAATATAAATCATAAACATTATAGCATATATTTGGTTGCAAAGAAATTGAACAATCATACCGCCAAATTTCAATCGTTTTATAAAAAGAGTAAATATACAAACATTCACAAAATTATTACCTATGAACAGAAACAGTGAAACTGAAACAAAAAAATAGAACGCGATCTATTTCATGAAACTCCCTAAGAGGTGTATGATGATACTCTCTAGATATAAAGATTGACACAATCAAAATGTGAGTGAGGCTAGAACATTGGGATGGGGTATATGAAGCATAGAATAGAGAAAGAAATTACCAGAATAGAGAGGAATACAAAAGAAAACGAAATGATGCTGTCAAGACAATGAGGGAAGAAAGGGAAAATATTTTGAGATAAAAATTAATGAACATAGAGGCAATTCTGTAGAGCTGTATTAAGTGCTGAGAGAGTATGCCAAATGACAAGTAAGTCATTGCTAGAAATTAAAATGAATGAAAATTTTGTAATAAAAAATAAAGATGAAATAATTCGGAAATAACCAACTGTTTGAATGGATAATTTGTAGAAAGCATAGGAGAAATAACTAATGTAATTGATAAATCAGGACCACAATATCCAATTTTGAATAATACTGATTTGGATCTCGGCATGACAACTATCGACAAGTTTTCAGTAATTTCCATAGAAGATATAAATAAGTAAGTACCCCAGGGAAATTAGACCAAAAAAAGGGCCATCTGCGAAATGAGGCTGAACAAGGTGAATTTTTGCAGAGACCTTCGTTTTGATGTTCTAATGAAGCACAAAAAAATCGAATATGCCTACCTTTGTGCGTCTCGAGATATCGAAGGTCAAAGGTCACGAAAGTCGTTTTTTTTTGCGCTAATCTCGCTTCCAGTGCATCCCTACAAAATTGTTCATATACATTTTTTTGTACGACCAACCGTTTTCGAAATATAGCGTGATAAAGCGGGAGCGCACATTCAAAATAGGTAATAATGTATTATACAGGGTGTCTCTGTTCAACTGGCCACAAATTTAGGAACAAAAATTGAAAAAAAAAGCAATTTGTTTCAAATTTATTTTTTTTTTTTG